AGTACTCGTCGTCGCCGACGTACTCCGCGTTGTGCTGGCCGACCCAGAGCGACGACCCCGCGGCGTAGTGGTCGTCGCCGAAGGTGACGTTGAAGTCGCCGTTGGGCCCGCCCAGGGTCCACAAAACGGTGCCGTCGGTCTTCATCTTGACGACGCCGTCCGTCTGGCGGCTCGAGACGTAGGCGACGGCGTCCTCGTCCGTGACCTGGACGTGGTTCGGGTCCTCGACGTCGACCTCGGCGAAGGACGCCACGACGTCGCCGCTGGCCACGTCCCAGGCCTCGACGGCCGTGCGGCCGTCGGCCTGCCAGAGTTGGGAGCCGTCGTAGGACAGCTGGAGGTCGTGCGCGTCGTTCGACCCGCCGGCGCAGAGGATCGTCCACGTGTCTTCCACGAAATTCCAGATGGCGCGGGGGCCCTTGTTCGCGTTCGCGCCGAGGGCGACGAGGAGGCTCGAGGCGTTGTAGACCTTGAGGCCCCGGGGGCCGTAGGTGTTCGTCGCGTCGACGTAACCTCGGAGGCCCTTTTGCGCTAAAATCTTCCCGTAGGTCGGCGCCACGGCCGTCAGGTTGCCGCTGGCGTAGTCGACGACGACGACGTAGGACGCCTTGTTGCCGAAGCTCAGCGACAAAGCGACCCAGCCGCCGAGCGCGCTCCGGCCGATCGCGCCCTCGATCTCGGCGCCCGCGTTGCGAAACGTGGCCGTCAGTTTTCGCGGCACGTAGTCGTAGAGGTCCGCCGCCGCGACGCCCTTGAGGTCGAGCATCTCGACGACGGCGGGGAAGGCCAGGAACGCCGACGCGTCCAGCGCCACCGTCGACGCGAGCGTTTTGCCGGGCGGGGCCGCGAACCTGATCCAGCGGTCCGCGGCGGAGCGCACGGCGGACCGGGGGTCGATGAGCAACGAGCGGAACGACGCCGCCACGACGCAGGCCAGGCCGCCCAGGGCCACGGCGGACCCGGCAGCCCAGCGCGGCCGTCTGGGATGGCCGCCCATCTCGTCACCAAAACTATGGCTCAGGGTCGAAGGTGAAGCATTTGTTTCAGCAGCCCCTGGGTCCCCTCGGTCTGGCCTCGAGGCAGGGCGCCGGAGGCACCGCGTAGACGCACCCGCAGCGCCTCCCGCGCCCGCGCCGATGGCTCAAGACAGGCGCCCCCTCATGCACCAAGCCGCGGAGAAAGGCCTCTTCCACCTAGTCGAGGCGCTCATCGCGGCGGGAGAACCAGTCAATCAACCTGATCCACGTGTTAGCGGGTGGACTGCGCTGTCCTACGCGGCCAATTGGGGGCATGGTGAAATCGTGCGCATCTTGCTAGCGGCGGGCGCCAACCCGAACCAGCGCGACGTCTACGGAAGGACCCCGCTGCTGCACAACATGCATAACGGCCGGCCAAGGGCTCCGGAGGGCGAAGAACGCGTCGAATTCTCGGCTGACACGTTCCACCAGCTCGTACAGGCCGGCGCGTGGATAGATTGCCCTGATTCCGCGGACGGGTCGCCGCTCATCTATGCGGTCGAAAGCGGCTACTCGGAGTGCGTCGAGTACCTCGTCGCTCACGGCGCCGACGTCAATCGGTTGCACCGGTACTGGAACAGGGCTCCGGCCATGCTGAGGCTCCCCCAGCAGACCTCGAGCTCAGTGCTCGGCTACGCGGTAATCCGGGGGAGCGAGAGGATCATGCGCTGCCTGATAGCCGCGGGTGCTGACCTGAACTGTGGGGTGCGGGACGAGTCTGAGGGCGAAACGGCATTGGAACGCACCCTCCGTCTTGATGTTCGCAAGGTGATGTGGGTGTTGGTCTCAGCGGGCGCGCGCTTGCGACATCCAGTTTTTTTTGTGAATTCCGCAACGCGCTACCTCGACCGGGTCCGCGACGCCGGTGGCTATCAGAATCTCGTCGCGATCTACCGGCGCGTCCTCACCGCGCCCC